AGGCCTAAACCACTTCAGGAAATATTTGCACTGTTTTTACATGACTTTGTCAGGTGAAAGTCACAAACAAAGTCAAACTTTGCAAAAATAAATATGTAATCGAGTGTTTTCAGACATTTGCAGGGATTTGTATCTGAATGTCAAAAAACCACAAGAAAACATCAATTATTTTGTTTTCCAGAACTTTTGTGTATTGGGCAAGTTGTTGTTATGCATTGTGGGTCATATTTTATGTTTTCTTCCAGCAAAAAGAGAAAGAAATGTTCTTGGCAAATTTCAAATCTATATACAAAAGACTAATTCCAAGTGCACAGCTTTGTTATTCCTGGTATAGAAACGGCTTTTTCCGCAAACTTGTGCAGGCACGAACACATCTGTCAAATTGCAATCACTCAACCCTTTTGAGCGTTGAGATCTTATTTAGGCTTATTATGTAGACCTTTTATAACAACAAGTAGTGGTGCTGAGTCTGCTCAGGCAATTCTGCCTTTTCTCTTTGCAATCATGAGGTTTGATTGGGTTCTAAATGTCACAAATTAACACTTAACTGAGACTTTGTCTCTCCACTTTGCTAGAAGTGCAGCTCCACCCTCAGGAGCCAAAACAAGCTCCAACATCTCAAACTAAAAAGAAATGTTAATCAATCAATCAATCAATGTTTATTTATACAGTATAGCCCAATATCACAAATGTTACATTTGTCTCAGTGGACTTCACAGTTTGTACAGAATATCAGTATGACAATACGACACCCTCTGTCCTTTGACGCTCACATCGTACAAGGAAAAACTTCCAGAGAAAACCCACAGTTTAAAGGGAAAAATGGGAGAAACCTCAGGGAGAGCAACAGAGGAGGGATCCCTCTCCCAGGACGGACAGACGTGTTAACATGTCATTTACACGATAACACTGAAATCAGAGCTGCCTATTGTACCTCTGTCTGTGTAAAGCTTGGCTATTGTGTCACTGTATGCACATCATATTTTAATGTTCTGTATGTATGATTTGGCTACTCGAAGAACATTTAAAATGAGGCTTTTGTAGGATAAGGTGTGTTGCTTTTTTGTATGCATTGGTATCTTTAACCTGTCAGCACAAATAAAACCAAGACAAACAGACCATTGCCTTCAGTGATCAAGTTTTCACTTTGTCAAGTACTTTTATATCTGAAATGTTGTGTGGCTCAGATTCTAACATACACATTATGTTAACCTCGTTAGCCTTTAATTGTATGATGGAATTTAATGTGTGTTAACATTGCTATGACCAAACTAAGTGCTTCTTTTTTCATTGAAAGTAACATGAAGTAGCTTTTTATTAACCTAGAGGTAATTCAAAATTTCAAATGTAATTGATGCATCAGTCTATGTACTACTTTTTCAATGCAGTAGAAGGCCGCAACTAAACAAACCACTATTTACCGCTATAATGTTGGTTTGGGGGCTTTATAGGAGCCAAACATGTGGCAAAAACTCATTGAAAACTTCACCAGCAACATATCATTTTCCCATTCTCACATTTTTAGTAGTTGACACTTTTGGCCCACAATTAAAAACAGCACAACTAAGCAAGACAATCTCAGAAGGGAGTTAGTGATTTCTTTATTGTCATCATAAATGGCCCATGTCCTCCTTGATAAAAAGAACTTCACTGCAAACCGCAATAATGTGCATCAGTGTTGAGCGTGAGTCAAACATATTTGATTGGATACTGAGCCTCTGCTGTGCTTAATAATGCAAAAAGCATTTCTATTTGCTTGTGTCTTGTTAGGTAAAGGGCACATTTCTGGTACTGTACATGCACCATTCACAATTGCATTTGGGAGCACAGATTTTGTCTGATGAAAAAATATATTTACATTTCATCACTTTGTCCTAAATAGACAGAAAAACTGCACCAGAGTAGACGGGAGGATAAAACAGCTGGAATAGAGACAGAGTTCATACTCATACTGGTGACTCATTCTAGTAGAGCAGAGAGAGAGAGAGAGAGAGAGAGAGAGAGAGAGAGAGAGAGAGAGAGAGAGAGAGAGATGAACAGCAGATCTTTGGTCTGGGAGAGAGGTGTGTAAGTACAGGGTGGCTGAGAGATGCCAGAAGAGAAGGAAGAGGTGGAGGGTGTGTGAATGGGGGTGTGTGTGCTGCTGCATTCAACTGATGGTGACTCACTGGTGCTCGCTCACTGGCCCAAGACATCTGCACGGACAAACAGTCACACACACACACATTGTAAGGGTTGCAGGACCCCCAGTGGCCAACCCTGCTGTGTTAGCACCATACACACACGCTCTGTGGTTTCCCAGTCTCATCATGTTAATCCCACAGTCATTTGGCTCTTTATTTGCTGTTATTTTTAACTAGCTCCCACTGCTGAATCATTGTGTTTATGAGTCACACCCATGCTTCCTCCAAATAGGCAGCAACCCATTTCTCCAACTTTGTTTTCTCTCTTTCTCAGTCCATATTTCTCCCTTACGTTCTTGATCTCAGACAAAGGGACCTTGTGTTTTTTCTGTGTGTGTGCATGTGCATATGAGTGTGTGTCCGCACGTGTCCTTGCATGCATATATTTGTGTGAGAGTGGGCCTAACCTCAAGCTCTGTTTGGAGACAGGCCTGACTCCCCGTCTCTGTCTGTCTGTTTGCTTGCCAGATCCGCCTATGTACTGCGTTCATACCCTCACACACATGCACACCACAAACTCACAAAAAGGATGAATTTCTCTACAACTCACAATCCCCTGGACAATACACACCCAGTGGGAATGCTTCCCTCCCGTCTCTCTAATCCCTTCTTCTCTTACCGACCTACATCCTGGCCAGCTCAGAGTGAAAATACAGCATTGTGCAAAAGGTTAGAAGGGAGCAATAAGAAAGACAGACAGAAAGGGAGGAGATGAAGTGAAGTAAGAAAAGAGGGAGAGACATAACACAGGAGAGAAGCAAGTATTGACTTTTTACATACTTTAGATTAGTATGGCTCCTTTTCTCTAGCCCTGCACATGCATACATGTCTACACACTAATGCACACACACACACACACACACACACACACACACACACACACACACACACACACACACACACACACACACACACACAGGCCCTGCAGCCTGCCAAACATCTGGAGCAAAGTTAGAAAAACGCTGAATGAAAGAATCTTTAATAACACTGGATTGATTGTGTGACTACGGCCTTTAGCCAATCAAAACAGGCCTGGATGGGTTATCTGTCTCTGCGCGGTTATCGAACGGACGCTTTTATTGCCAGTCGTGTTTCATAGCCAGAGCTCAGGACCACACTGTGTGTGTGCATCTGAGAGGTACTGCCTTCCTGCTTTGATTTTTTCTCGCTCTGTTGTCTAACCTGCCCTGTTAATCTTCACCACGTCTCTCAACACCAGATGCTTTCAGGTCAAGAAAATATTTAGGGTCTCAATAGGATGGTATTAAATACTACCGTAATATATAAAAACCAGGCTTCCATTTTATACTTCTTTTCAGGGTGTGTGTTTTGTTTGGCAGCGAAGGTGTGCTTTTCTGCCTCCATAAGTCCGGCTAAGTAGTTGGAGGTAAAACATACTAAGTGGAATATTGAGCCAAGATTAACAAAATGTGCACACTGTTTGTAGGTACTCTATTCTTCCAAAAGATGAATTGATAGGATGAGCTTATACACAGAAAAACACTCTGGTCTTCTTCTCTTACACTCTTTTCATGTGTCTTTTTTTGCCCGTCATGTCTTTATTGTTGTATAAGAGTCTAGACTAGTAGGCTCAGGGGTCAGTTCAGCAAATACAGAACTCCTCCCTTGAGCTTTTGCCTTTAGGGTAGGCTTTGTAATTGAACTCAGTTTCCCAGAGCCTCCCTCTGCACAAAGCCTCATCACCACAAGTCTGCACGCACGCTTAGAGGGTCCTCGGCCCTGCCTCAGAGCTGTACAGTGATCACCTGCATTAGCCACACATGTTGGCAAGCCTGCTCGCACACTATATACATATTTTATCCCTAAATGCTTTAAGGGATGCTTCAATCTGAGAACACAAATAATTGTTGAAATTCTTTATCAAGCACACATGTCAAAATATACCCTGGTTCAAACCAGGGTATATTTCAAATGGAAGGATTTGCTGTATGTGTCTCTATTTTGTAATGCATACTAAAAGTACGGCCTTTAGATTGCTAGTCTGAAAAAAAGGGTTAGTCACATAAAATAATGTATAGATTAATTGACAATGTGAGTTTTCAGTAAACATCTCAATGTTAGTATACTTACGGTGTTAGGCTGCATCTACACGGAGACAAAAACGAAAACCAAATTCGATTTAAAAAAAGTCTTCCATCCACACAGTAGGCCTATAGGCTCAAGAAACGTGTCCGTCCACACGAGGCTGCTCGACCCGCTGGAGACGCTGTAGTACATATGCCGGGCCTGTAAGTGGCGCTGTACTTCCGCCACAAAATACACCAAAAGCAGCGAGCATGGTTGCCTGGTTGCCATGGTTGCCTGGTTGCTCTTCTGTTTATTCTCCGTAGCAGTAGCTACTGAGCATGCTACAGCAGTGAGCAGCAGAGGTGGGGAGAGGCTGGGCTATGGCTTCATCGTTATCAGAAAATTATCGTATAGGAGGTACACACGAAGCCGTTTGACCCTCCAGAGCGTTTCGTCTGCAGATCTACCCACCTTGGGACCCGTTATCGTTTGAGGGCTCCGTTTCCGCGGTTCCGTTACGGCCTCGCCGATGCAACCCGTTTCGTGTCCGTGTGGACGGGGTCTTAGTCTATCATATACATGTGGGCCTTCATAATATATTCTCATCAGAGCTATATTACAATTCGACACAACTAAAAAGTACCTTAAAATGCAAGTGCAAGCTTGTCATTTATATGACAGAACAAAAGCAACACTGAGTTAAACTGAAGAGTTTTGAATTTGTATTCACTTTTAAATGCATACAACCCCCAGCCTATTGTAAATTAATTCACCTGTGTCCTTCCGCAGCTCAACCAGCAGCCAGATTTACGCCCGCCCGCCACACCCAGCCATGTCAGACACAGCCCAGCGGCCAACAACGCAACGGAGCCAAGCACCACGCACACAGACACTCCCCTCACACGCACTGTCCGCATCACACGCCTCGCACACACACACTCCAGACCAACGGGGTCAGGAACGGGGGCCTTCATCAGCATCCTAAGCTGGGCTCCCTCCCAAGAGGGGAATCCTCCACCTCCTCGTCCTCTTCGGCGGGACCCAAACACACCAAGAAATTGCGGTCCAACCCTTCCATCACATCCCAGAGCAGCAAGAGGAGCAAGAGCAGCTCCAAGAGCAACAGCTCTCAGATTCCTGCAGAGTCACAGGACGGTGAGATACAGACACCGACGGGGGGGAACGGGGGGGGGGGGGGGACGACGACACGAAAGGGATGGATAGCAAGCAAGGTTCAACATCAAGTTTTTCATATGTCTGGTCAGAGTGAAGGATCATAACGCTATTTTCACATCTTCATTGACCCAGAAGTAGAAATCATTTACATTTCGTTTTGCAATTTGTAAGATTATTGCATGTATTACCATTGGTGGGTTGTATTAAAAGAGCAAAAGCAGCAGCCCAGAGTTCAGCTAAGTTTAACAGTATATTTCATACCCACTCAATGTAAAATCGTACTTAATCTTTACCAACTTAAAAAGCCAAATGAAATATATTAATCAAAAACCAAAGGAGTAATTTAACAAACTTTAAAATATAAAAATATATTAACCTCTGCATTCCTGTAATAAATCCACTTTTGTTTCTTTGAAACGTGAGTGGGTTAGATCCATGGCACAGTGTGAAATGTATGGCATTTAACATTTTCAACTGGTAACTGTTATATGTGGAAAAGGCCACCTTCTCATGACATTCGCTAATTAAAAAGTAGCAACTGTCATGTCTTTTACATGACTAATACTGATACTGGGGGCTAAAAAAAGAAGAGAGGAGTTATGTGGTTGAGCAGCGAGGGCGAGTTGACTTATTACCAAGAAAGATTTTGTAAGACCAGAAATGTGTTTTTTTAACTCCTATTAAAGAAAAAATGTGGTAAGTCAGTTTACTAATGCCACCAGGACATTGGCCATCCTTAGCCTTTAGCCTGGCACTGAAGGAAAACGTGTTCTTGTGAAGTAATTACTCAATCATGTTTCATCATTTCTGACCTATCACAGTGAACGTGATGCCAAGCTACTTCTGACAAAACTTTTTATATTTCTTTGCTTCATTAGCATGACATGTGACAGAGAAAATACTGACGGATTAGCATACAAACTATTGACATAAGAAAAGTAATTATGAGTGGGCAATGATAAAACTCTGTCTCTCTTTCTCTGCAGACTGCTGTGTTCACTGTATTCTGGCCTGCCTCTTTTGTGAATTCCTAACTCTGTGTAACATCGTGCTGGACTGTGCCACATGCGGCTCCTGTGCGGGGGACGACTCGTGTTTCTGCTGCTGCTGTGCGTCAGAGGAGTGTGGCGACTGTGAACTGCCATGTGACATGGACTGTGGCATCATCGACGCCTGCTGCGAGTCTGCAGACTGCCTGGAGATCTGCATGGAGTGCTGCAGCCTTTGCTTTTCCTCTTGAGGGCCCCAGCTGCCACCACAGGGGGCAAAGTACTGCTACAAACTGCCACAGCCCAGGAGCAACTTCAACCAGTGTCTCACCAGAGCTGGGAAGCGCTAAACATCCTTGTTGCCTGTGCTCTGTGGTTAACACTCTATTGAAGGGCCTAGTTGGCTCTTGAATTAGGTTTCGTACAAGGTTTGTCAAGCAATAACCTGCTGAGAGCAGTCAATGGTGATTTCTCCTCTCTTTTATTGATCAAACCATGGGACAGTAGCTTCCCGCCTTTGCTGCGGCCCCTTGCTACACAACTGGATGTATGATGTAGAGGGATTTCCAGCTCTGGTCTGGGACTGTCTGCCTGACTGTGCAGACCGGGCCTCCGGACCCTCGCAGAACAGGCTATTATCACAATGGAGCCCCTTGTGCCGTCTGAATCAGTGGAGTTCTCCAAGCATGAAAAATGACCTCCAAAGGCAAATGAGAAAATGGCTCCATTTAACCGGATTTTAGTGTTTCTGTAGATAAGAGCAGCAGCATAATGGGAAAATGGACGCTCAGATCTCAATAGAAACATAGTCTGTCCTCCTGTCCTTGGCAAGGTCAAAGTCTTCCACTTTGATTGCGTACAGTGGCCTTTGTGACACACACTCACAGACACACACACACACACTTAGTGGTGGATCCACCGCTGTCTTTGTTCTTATTGCAATGTACAAAAATATAAAACGTTAATGGTGGCTTGTGGCAATACTACAGACGAATTTCTTTTGTTAATATTCATCTCACTGTCTTATTCAGAGAAGAATCATGAGTGTCGTGCATCAGTCGGAAAATGGGTCCAATTAAATGAGTACTCTAAGTGACTTTTGAGTGAACGGCTGATTGCATTCGTCATGGACACATTCTCTACTCTAACATGTGAAGGGAGAGAGTTCTTAATCAAAGGTCTCTCCTCATTTAATGTTTCACATCTTGTTTACTTTTACATTGTTTATTTTGAGGAGCTTCGGCTGGATTCAGTGGATTCCTCATCATCTAAAAAAAGTCAAGGCTGGAAGAGGATTGGATCGCATCATCTCTTTTTCAACATGTTTGATTTTTCTTCGTCATTGTGTTATGTGAACAGATGGCCTTGGCTTAGCTTAGCTTAAGGCCTGAATTTTCTAGTAGATTCCTCGCCTTTACCAAATATCTATTAATCCTTGTTTTGTAGATTTTAGTTAAGATATTTGCATTTCTCTTCTAATGTGAAAATCACATTTCTGTGTTATCGGGTTATGCCGGGCTCTCTATAAAGCAGACATTGCTCAACATCTCATTTAATTCCTTGAGTGAAAATCTCACGACATTATGTTAACTTAGATCCATATGCTCACAGTGTGAATGGTACGCTTTTGATAACAGGCCCGCACTCTCGTATGCTCAGATGCATACCTTCTCCGACTCAATACCTCTTGAGATGTCGCCCATATCTGTTGTGCATTTTAAAATGACTTGATACAAATCTCTCTCCTCTCTTATCAAATACTGTTTGTGCAATCCTTTTTTCTTGGAAATACCAAAGAGTTTTCCTCTGACTGGACAAGTTTTTAGACACAAGGGCTGAAATATAACACTGTTGATTAAGAGTATACACTAAATCTGCCAATCAACCTGATAACACAGAAGCAGAACGTTTTTGGAAATCAAGAAATGCAACTTGAAAATACATTAAGACCTTTAATTTCTGTTTATAAAGGAAATGATGTGTTTTAAATGTTGACACGTTTCAAAATCCCTGGAGTGCCCTGGAAAACAATGCAATTTAAATAACAACACAAAGAGATTTATGAAGGGAGAACTGGATTATATAATGTTGTGTATAGAAGTTATTACAATTTCATTTGTTTGGATTAACAACATATTCCCAGTGCAGATTGTGAAGATGTTGCTTCATCCAACGACCTGTTCTCTGTCACCAGACCAACCATGTCACTAAAAGAAGTATGGATGGACTTTAATAATAATAGTCTATGGGGATGCAAAGCTAATCCATACATTTAAAAGCTAAATAAAAACACTGGTTTGTTAATAGCAGAAGTCAATCATTAAAAATGATGCAGATAAGTCTACAAATGTAAATCAGGTTAAACTAGTTAATGATAGCATTACTGGCCTCCACTGAAGACAATGGCCTGGCTACCCTGCCTTTTAGCCGGCAGTGTTAAAACTAAACTAAAAAGTATTACTAACTGGAATATTAATAAATACTAACATATGTTTGCTACCCACTGATTCTACAGCACAAACAATAGGTCTGCTTTAGGCTTGATGATTTTTAGACAGATTATGAGTTCCTTTACAAAGAATCATGATCATTATTACCAGAGATGTGACTAATCCATGTTTCCTATTGCCTGTTTATGACTGTGCTTAAAAACAACCTCACGCACTCTTGCTCAAGTTTCAAGATTCTTACACAGCTCCAGCTTCTCACTGACCCCAAACTTTTATTTTAAAACCAAGGTAAATCCAGATTGCATAAATGGAAAGCTCCAAGACATGCTTTTTGGTAATCTGTTTCATTTTATTATGTTAAATTGATTTTATTTGCTTGAATTCCTGTTTGTAGCAGAGATGGAATTGGATAAAGGTCAACAGAAACCTACCTGTGACAGAAAGAACAGCTTTGCAACTCTCATTTTGGCTGTAGATCTTATAAACAAGTCGAACCCTCCTGTGAAGTTCCTGCTTTTCCTAAATTAGCTTAGCCTGGGTGTTTAAAGAGCTCCTCTTGGAATATGTCAACTCTTTGTTGTGCAGTGCATCAAAAATCATGTGAAACAATATTTTACTAAACGTCTGGGTTGAAAAACAGTAAACATATCATTTAAGTTTTATTTAATGATGTCTGATTACGATTATATGACTTGATCATTAAATACTTTTTAAGTCCATCCTAAAAAGGGCCTCAGTAATTGGTTGCGAATGGTGGCAGTCTGATGGATTGAAAACACTGACTGGTTGGTTTGGAGATGGAGAATATGTCTGGATGTAGAGAGATGAACAACTGTCTTACATTTCGGTCACACTCTGGATTGTAAAAATTGCTTGGGGATATGGATTTAATGTTTTAACTGTACTAGACAGATTCAAATATTTCCCGCTCAGTCATTACAGTAATACTTGAAGAAAACAAGTTGACTTTCAATGGTGTCCATAATCAGTATTATCAGTATTTTTGTTGGAATTACCTAACTACAAAAATGTTGAATTGTTGACTTTCCAAGATTCATTATCTTAATCATAAGACGTCATTTGGATATTGGTTTGAAAAAACTGGCCTATTCTGGCAGTCCTCTGAAAGTTATATTAGCCTAGATTAGTTGTTACTCGACCATAGTCCACTATAATGTCATTTTGTTTACACTACACCCATTTTATGTCAATTTGAATTGCTGTCCTGGAAGTCACGTTAAAATCTCTTAGTTTAAGACTGAATAAACAATGTGAACTCCAGGCTACACGTGTCATTCTTTCTCCCTTTTCACATAGGCTCCAAGCTTATTACATTATGGCCTTATTGCATTACGGTAACACAAATACTTGGGTTGTACTGTAGTCTGGTATTTTAAAAAGTGTTTTTGTAGCAGAAACGAATCTAATAGAAACAAAAAATTGCTTAGTCATCACCTGGAGAGTGTTGAATTACTGAAATTCCAGATGGAGCTTAAACTGTTTTTATACATTTGACCTTCTCTTCTGCACTGCTTGGCCCACTTACAAAAATATTAGGAAAGCAAAATATGTATACATTAAAAACAGTGAAAGAATACACTGTTGCTAAGAAATTGCCATTGCTTTCTTTTGAATTCATCTCCATGTTTTACATTCACTCAAGTAAAAGAACAAAGGTTTGAACTTAACTCAAGGTATCAAAAGCAATGGTTATATCACACCATTACATGATAACATACCTTAAAGATAGGGTAGGTAATTTTGGAGAAACCAGCTCGAGTGCGCTAGAATTTGAATGTACGCAGCCGAAAAAAATCTGCCCATTCCTTCAGACTTCCTTACAGATCCCCAATGACATGACCAATGAGGGCACGAGATAAGTTTGCGCACAGATGGAAGGCTGACAGGCAGGTAGGCCATCCAGTTATTTTACCCGGGACGGTGAAAATAATTGGTTGTGCTTTTTACAGCGCCACGGCTTCCACAGATGACATTTTTGTATGTATTTATTTTCAAAGCATTTAATATATTCATTGCTATCGGCATGTTCAGAGCATTCCATGGAAAATAACAAAAAGTGTTTCTGAAGTGAATTACCTACCCCACCTTTAAGTCTTGAGTAGATGTACTTAGTTGCATTACAACATTTATTAACACCACATGTTTAAAATTGAGTATGCTTTAGTATAGTTAGGAATCAAGCATTTAGCTAAAAGTAATGCATAAGCATGTAAAATATTTAGCTGAAATGTTCAATTGTATGATACAAATATTCAAACAATATACGTCAATAATACTACCGAAAGAACACATTCGGATTTGAAGGGTGGTGTTGATAACGTTTTTTTGAACCCATCCTTTAGTGCTGTGGGGTGACGTCAAACAAATTGACTTGGGAGCCACAGATAAAAACAAACCAAATAACATAAAATTCAATATAGAGGTAGGTTAAAAAACTGACCATGTGTTACATAAAGTGTCGACCATGTGTTACATAAAGGGACCATGCGGTAAAAGCAGTATAGCTTTATTTCTCTCGTTTTAAACAGTGTTGTTGCTCATTTTCCTGCTGTGTTTTATTATTTCTCATAAAAATATTTTAGCATCTGCAAATTTCCCAAAAACCCCACCAGATTAGATGATCTCTGAGTTGATCAGAGCGAGAGAAAAAGGGGGGAAAGGGAGAAAACAGAAACAACTGTGCTCATGCAGAACAGCCCTTTAATGTGTTGTTTTAAAGGCTGGCCAAAGCCTTTCAGTAGGAATGCGTGTTCAGGCCAACACATCAGTGTGTGGAGAAATGCAGGGGACTCTTACTGTTTGAGATGTTCTTCTTCCCCTGCCTTTAATCTTTTCTCCCTTTTCATTCTCTTTCCGTCTTGAGAGTGGCCAGCAGTAAGATCTGATGAAAACAATTCCTGTCTTCTGTGTTTGTGCGCATGCATACTTGTGTGCACACCTGTGTGATGACCACTGGGTGTGAGATGTTGGCCAGCCGCTGCTTCTTGTAGACTGAGTGTAGTGTTCACTAATAGGAGGGTCAGAATCTGGGTCCCAGGCGAAGTCCAGTAAAGGATTCATCCACTGTGTGTTTGCGTGTGCCATCCTTCATGAAGATACAAATTGTGTATTGCGGAGGGGGTTCAAATGACTCAGGTTAGACAGAGAGGCAACTCAAGCCCTTGGAGACACTGAGGACATATCTGGACATCTGCAACTGTTTTGCAGGAAGCCATGCTGGAGTCGACCCTCGTTTCCTTTTCCATAAGCACACATTTGCAAACACACAAACTCAAATAAAAAATGATGTACACCCCCTCCAGAAATTTCACATGCACAAAGCGGGCACAGGGGACAAGTGGCTATTGAATATTAACCATGAAATTACAAAGGCTGCATTCTAATGGAGGTGAAGAGGTCAGAAGCTGGGATGGAAATCATAAATTAATACCCCTGACATGACAAGTCGCTCGCCCTTGGCTCCCACCAAACACAGCTCTACCCTCCTCCACTGAAGTCACAAAGACACCTATGGAAATACTCCATTTATTATTAATTTTGGGTCAAAGGAATGCAGACACAAGAAGTCATACAATATGCCTGTTCCTTTTTGATGTGACCATTGTATGAGGCGACGAGTATGTAACCTTCAAGTGTGGCTACATCTATAGGGATTATTTATTTAAGTGTCCTCGGGGATAATTTCAACTATTTTGCATCTTTTGCAATCCATTTAAATCAGTGCCTTTCATATCAACGCTTTGGCATTGTAATTTGTGATGATTATGAATAACAATTATGGTAATTATGGAGACACTAAATTACACTGCATACTTGTATCTATCAATTGTTTCAAAAACCTTGTTCTTTCACCTATCAGGTCTCAAACAATGAGTCTTCAAATACAATAATTAGTGCTTAAGCACACTCGTGATTTATTTGATTAATTATTTTTGTGTCATGCGCATTAAAATGCCACTCCAAGATGCTAAGATGAAACAACATGTTTTACAGAAAATAAATATTTCACAAAACTCATGACTCACAAGTCTGACATTGTGTACCAAACGCTTTGTCTCCTTTCAAGCTCTACAAATGAATTCTGTCAAAAAAAGTTCTCTTTCTAAAATACAGTTTAAGTCTTTCACAATCAACCAACCAGAAAGAATCTGCAGAGAGGGAGGACATTCTTCTGAAGTGTACAGTTCGTAAATCTTCATAAGGAGCAATGAAGCATAAAATGGACTGTTTCAATCTAACCTAAATCACGTAGCAAAATCTTTTTTCTCTGAGGGAGACCATTATCTGTTTCTGCATGTGCCTGCACAAAGTCAGGCACGTAGAGTCCTTTAAAAGTTGGTTAAGTATTGAATAATATAAAAGATTCAAAGTTAATTTTTGTCAAGTCTGAATCATATATAAACAGATCATCTTCAAGCACTAAACACAACATGGATTCAAATACACGGTCAGATACAATAGTTTCACATATAGAGACGCAACATATTTCAGCTTTTATTCCGCAAAAACATGTGTTCAAATAGACCTCGACACCTTCACATTCCCCATCAACATTTAGGCTCACTTGCTCATGTGCAGTATATTAACCACAGTTATTTAAAGACGTTGGGCCATAACTTAATTGTCCATTAAAACATACAAATGTAGTCTGAGCTGTGTAGCAGAATTCATTGAATATCCACCCTTGAAGTTTTTTTTTTTTTATTCAACATAACCAACTTAACACTGGGGTTTTTAAACTATTATTTTCTTTCAACCAGTGTTTGTTGAACAAAGTTATCACCAACAGTTGATAATTGCAAAATATCTTGTCACATCAGGTTTTGTTTTACTAAATGTCAAAGGTAGAACAGTTCAAAAATCTCTGCACAAACTGCAGAAACACAGGCAGATGGATTGAAAGAGCCAGTAAATAACTTTGGAAAACAACTAGAAACCTATAATACCACCACTGGCTGTAAATCAGAGGGAGGAGAGCTCTATTGGTGCAGCTGTGTGAGTCAGTGGAACTAGTGCCAGTGGCTCCTTATTACAAAGAAACATCTTTTTTTCCTACTTTAGAGGCAAATAAATGGGTGGGGGGCCGAGACACAGAAAAAAGAAAGAAAGAAAGAACTATTATTGCAAGAGTTACATTGGCATCGAAATGTATTTACTGTAATTTTTGTAATAGTATAGTATCCATAATAGTTGAGAAGACTAGGAGTTCAGATAATATTTTCAGTACTGCTTTTCTGAAACCCTGAGAACAAATATTGCATTGAAATATGACTTGGAGCCATACAAATGCTAAATCAAAGTCTGCAGCAACAAATCCACTTCATTAAAGTGCATATAACCATCTTTCATAACAGGGCACACTGTGTTCATTAGATGCTGATTACATGTTCTCCTATTTAACAGTGCACGGCAGTGTTTTACAACAAGTTCAACTGAACCAAAAATCGTGGCAAGCAGAGAAGCTTGGATCAGCAACAAAAATGTGTGTGTACTGTATTGAGTTACTGCCGCTGCAGGACTACTGAGGGAACCACAGCCCAGTGTGCTCCCATGGAATACACACTCACACGCGCACACACTAACACATACACAAGTACCACACAAGAGTTGGCAGGCCTGAGACATTTGTTTCTGCTTCGGTCTCACGGAAGCAGCAGAAGCGGCAGGGCGGTAGGCCTGAGTAGGGAGAGTGGGTGGAGGAGGATAGATGACCATTTGCATGTGTGAGCCTCAAAAAGTATCCCAGACCATCTGATATGCGCTTTGACGTCAGTTAGTGTGAGAGAAACGAGACCAGGAAAGTCATTCTGCAGCAGCTGGAGCTTTGCTATAGTAGGGGTGCTTTGAAAAGCGAGGAAGTTTGCAAAAATATCTCATTATAGAACGGAAAAAACAGCAGCCCCTAACTCCCAATATGATCCTGGAGTTATGTTCTTATAACAAATGTCCATGTCCAGTGCTAATACAAATCCGTTCCCTTACTTCATCCCTGCTCTGTTGAACAATGCCCATATATCTTCCTTATACCACGATGACAGATAGATTAATCTAGCAAACTAGATCCCTCTGCTGTGAGAGCATCCGTTGGATAATGAATCACTGATGAATCGCCTGAAAGATCTCACTCTAAGGCAGTGTAAAGTCATTTGATTTAATGGCTCTGCATAGCTGCAGTGCAGCAGGCATTACCTGATCAATCTGAGGTACTGATCTCGGGTGAGTTTGGGTCACTTCCTGCAGAAGTTGACGCAAAGACCGCC